CCTCTCGGATGGTACGAGGAGACTGCATGTCAATGACCGCCTGCACCTTCTCAGGGTTCGCCTCTATTCCTCTCTGATTGATAAGGAATCCGAGAAATTTCCCAGACTCAACTCCAAAGACACATTTCTTGGGATTGAGCATGACATGGTGCCGCCTGAGTGTGGCGAAAGTTTCTCGGAGGTCCGACAGATGATCTTTCTGAAGTTTAGACTTCACAATCATATCATCAATATATGCCTCGACATTTCTCCCAATTTGATCAAAGAACACAGTGTTTATCATTCGCTAGAAAGTGGCCGGGGCATTCTTAAGACCAAACGGCATGACCGTGTAACAGTATAACCCTTGATCAGTGACGAAGGCCGTCTTCTCCTGATCTTTCTTCCATAAAGGAATTTGATGGAAACCAGAGTAGGCGTCCATAAAGCTCATCAAAGCATGGCCGGCTGTTGAGTCAACCAGGTTATCAATTTTAGGCAGAGGGTAACTGTCTTTGGGGCACGCCTTGTTTAAGTCTGTGTAGTCTACACACATTCGCCAGGTGCCATTCGGCTTTTTAACAAGCACCACATTTGCAACCCAGTCTGGGAAGTAACATTGCCGAATGAACCCTGCGTCAAGTAATTTTTTAACTTCGGCGGCTGCCGCCTGACTTCTTTCTTCGCCATGGTTCCGCTTCTTCTGCCTTACCGGCTTCTTTTTCGGATCCACAGCCAGTTTATGTACCGCCAGGTCAGGACTAATGCCTGGAATTTCGTGGACTTCGAATGCAAAGATGTCCTTGTATTCTTTCAATAGTTTGTGAAATTCGTCACCTAGGACTCTCAGAGCAGTCGTCCCAACTTTGACTGTTCGGTCAGGACGCGAGTCGTCTAAGATCAGGTCCGTATGCTCACCAGCCGGCTGAGGGCGGAATTCATCCGACCGCTCCTCTGCCAATGATTGCTATTTTCTGTCTTTTCTTGCGGCACCCGTCTGGGCTGACTTTCTCTTCTTGCCGCCTGCTTCTTGAACAGGCGCACTCTCCTTGACATTGTCAAGGTCTGTTTTTCCACCACTTGACCCAGTGGCCATAACAGTGGGCTTGACATCCGAGAGATAGCACTCTCGGGCCATCTTCTGATCTCCCCTTAGGGACCCGACTGTTCCATTATCCCTCTCAAACTTGAGCAACATAAGAGATGGGATTATAACAGCCTTGGAATTATTCAGGGTTGGTCGTCCCAGAATCATGTTGTAGGCCGAGAGTTCTTCTACTACCAGGAACCGGACTACCATGTGTCGTCCTTCCCCTTTTTCGCCCAGGCGGATGGGTAAATCCACTCGTCCCACTGGGTGGACGACTCCTCCTCCAAACCCTACTAAAGGGTGGGATGCCAGATGTATGCAATCAGTCTGATATTTTAGTTTCGACAGACATTTGCTACTGATGAGATCTGAGGAGCTTCCGGTATCTATGAGGATTCGGCCAACTCTCTGGTTGGCCACTTTACATTCAATAACGATAGGGTCGTCATGCGGCCCTCTTACCCCTCCTAGATCTTCTTTAGTGATGACAATCTCAGGAAATGAATATTTGGAGGGCCGTTCTTGGTGAACGGAATTTACATCTAACCGTCTGATATTGTCTTTGTTGCCCCTAATAGTGGGGCCGCCTCCTGAGAAGCCGCCTGCAATGGTGTAGACGACTGCATCATCTGTATCGGAGCTGTCGGCCTGTTGACTCTTTTTGGTCGACTGCTTTTTTGAGGAAGTGTTCCCCGTAGATTTCTTGACATAAGTGTCAAGATCACCTTGCTCAGCCAGGCGGTCCAGATACCGCATGAGACTGATGCAGTCATTGGTGTGATGACCAACATCTTCATGATAATCACAGAATTTTTCTTGGTTCCGATTGTTTGCAGAACCCTTCATGGGGACCGGCTTTTCAATTGAGATCCGTCCCTTGATTTCCTTTAGGATAAATTGGCTATCCTTGTTAAACACATACTTTGGGGAGTATGGTTTGAATTCTTTTTTCTTTTTCTGGGCCGGCTGTTTAGAGGAATCAGCCGCCCAAACCTCTTTTCTCTTCTCGTCTTTGTTTGACGACTGTTTCTGTCGTCCTTCTCTTTTGTCGGACCTTTTCCCGTCTGACTGTTTTACCGTACTACAAAGATCAGTCGCCTGTATATAGGCTTCCGCTTCAATCAAGGCCTCTTGAAGAGTCGCCACCCTCTTTCGGACCAAATCAAATTTGAAGGTCGACCCGTCTTTGAGACCTCTGAAAAAGTCAGTATAGGCTACTTCATCCGGTAACCCTTGAATCTGTATTCTCATCAGGTTAAACCGCCTGATGTAAGAACGAAGCCCCTCCTTCTCGCCCTGCTGAATTGTTCCTAAATCAAGGGTCGTCTTCTTCGCAGGGATGTTCATGGCGAAGTTGGAGGTGAATAAGTAAGCAAGCGTCTTGAAGTTATTTACACAACCAGTCGGCAGGTTGCCGAACCATTGTTGTGCGATTCCTTTGAGAGTCGCTGGGAAACACTTGCACCAAGTGGGATCATCCAACCCTTGAAGGTACATCAGGTTGGTGAATGCCATCAGATGGTCTTCTGGGTTAGTAGTGCCGTCATAGGCGCCTACTAATACATTTTTCACTTTGGCCGGCTGAGCGGCTTCAGTAATTTCCTTGGAGAAGGCCGACGGCTGTTCACCAAGTCTAAGCAACCGTAGCTGCCAGTCCATAGGTTGGACATTTTTTGCTGCATGTCCACCAAACGGAGGTGGCTGTAAAAAATACTGTTGTTGCGGTACAAACGGTAAGTTTGGTACCGCCTGGTCGCTATGAAAGCCGGACTGACGGGAGGTGCCGCCTGACTGACTCTCATGATACGACTAAGTATGCCTCATCGAGGTATTTCGCAGACTGTCTTGGAAGTTTGAAGTAGAGGCCGACTCTGACAATCGGCTACTCTTCTTCTGCTCTAGCAGTAGCCGAGCGTCTGTGTATGTTTTCCTCGACCCGTCCGCCTGAATATGACGAACAGGTTTCCTATTTCCTAGAGTAGGAAAACGGTATTTTGTGAAGTCAAGGGCAGGTGGCTCCCACTTCCTAGATTTAGGATGAGGGGTCGCCTCTCGCCCTTGAACTGGTTTCCTCTTCAGTGAAGTGGAGGGTTTCTTAGCCGACTGCTCCTTGTCCAGAGCAGGCGGCTTCTTGTTGATCAACTCTTGAATTTCTCCCTTGAAGTCCCTCATGAAGGTCATGAGTTCGTTCCTTGTGATGGGAGCAGACCCATCAGCCGGCTGCTGCCGAACAGGCGGTGCGCCTGCTGGCTCGCTTTCAATTTGAAGATGTTCCCGTTCCCTCCTTTCGGTATGACGGGTACGTCGGGCCCTTAGGGTCCCGTCTGAAGCTGTGTGAGCTTCAACTTCAAATTCATTCTCAGTATCGTGGTCCGACTGAACTTGAGGGTCGTCTAGGGGACGCCTCTCTTCAGGAGTCGGTACAGACGTGGATGCCATCTCAGAAGTACTCTCCCCACAGACGGCGCCAGAATGTTTCGGGGTTTTCTGATGTCCTGCGGGAGAGTTACAATTCCGAGACTGGAACCGGACGCCTGTACCTGCAAAACAAACGGATGCTCCGGATGATTGGAGATCCGCCTCCGACGGTCAAGTTAGTACTTGATTAAGGAGTAATTAATGCGGAAATTAAAGTGATTGGGTCTCTCTAGGTGAGAGTGTTTAATGTGTGTAATCTGCGTTTTTAGCGTGTTCTCTCCCTTAATGAGGATTAAGGGAGGTATTTATAACTCGGGAAACGTGTCAATCTAGGTTTAGGTTAACCTTGGGCTGATTGGGCTTCCCTCGGAAGTTGGGCCTAGGTGGCCGGTTATCCCAGGTGTCATGGGAAGGACACGTGTCGTGTCGTAATTGGTCCATAGTGGACGGATCATTGCTTGACACGTGGCAGGCTCCTATTGGCCCATGTGACGGACACATGGCGGAACCTGATTGGTCCACTTGTCAGATGGTGATTGGTGGGGAAAAATCCCCTAATCACCACTTACCTCTTATTTTATTTAAGTCAATTAAATTGCCTAAAACTATGTGCCGGTCAATATGTGCAAAGTCAAAACATGAACATGAACATAATTAATACATAATTAATACAGGGAGTAATTAATACATAATTAAAGATATCGATGGTAAAGTCAAAACATGAACATCATTCCGGGATGGAGGAAGTATATAATATGTGCAAAAGTTCAAGTGTTACTAGAATTAAAGAATGAAAAAAAGGCTCGGTTCACTTTACCTTAGCTTATTTTTGTTGAACTAAAATAATTTTTCCTGGCTTGAAATTTTTTTGCTTTACTAATTTTTACCGAATTGAAAAATATTTTTTGCTAAACTGATGAACTTATTTTTATTGAATTATAAAAATAATTTTACCAAACTAAAATTATTATATTAATATTATTTTTGTAAGGTAAAATAGTGAATAGAGCCTAAGTCTTATTATTATTGCTGATATAATATTCTTTATTAATTTGATTGATTGTAGAAGACTAGAAGTGTTTCTTATTATTACGGCCTCACGGGGGTTGAACATCTTGACTAAGCTACTTACTCTCATGTACAACAACAATATCTTCATAAAACATTTCTTCATTATTCAGCTTAGTTGTTAAATATGAAATAGATAGCCATAATTTGATTGTTTTTCATTTTCTTTTTCAATCAACTTTTTTTTTTCTCCAAATTTATGTAACATAAACAAAATAACCAACATCCAACCAAAGAAACCATGCATTTCTCAATTTTGTCAATAATAGTACTACTACTCTACACCATTCCGGCATGCTCAACCACACCAATAACAATGTTTAACGCCCCGAACATCACCAAGCCCGGTTGCCCTCGTAAATGTGGCAATTTAACCGTCCCCTACCCATTTGGGGTCGGCTTGGGAGCCGGCTGCTCGAAAGGTATTTGGTACGACATCTTTTGCATGACTTCTTCTGATCCTCCGAAGGCTTTTCTACCCGGAAGTAATGATGTTGAACAAAATGCAATGGAAATCCTCGACATATCTGAAACTCAAATTCGTCTTAAGAACCAAATTAGTTACGTATGTTTCAATTCAACGGCTCAAACTTCTCCTATGAGTTCCGACTACACTAGATTCTTTCTCAAGACAGTGCGTGCTCCCTACAGCGTATCCGGTATGTATACAATACACCCGTTCTTCAATATTTATTAGGATCATAGCTCAAAAAAAAAAAAAAAAGGTCCAAAAAAGAAAATTTGTCAAAAACTACTTTATAAAACTTTTTTTTTTTTTTTTTGTTAGAAACCACTTAGAATTTTTTTCCCCTATCAAGAACACTGACGGAGCCAGCGGTTAAATATAATATTTTGCACATTATGAAGTGGATTAAAGGAGTTGGGTCAACGGTTAGAGGTAAATGCAAGAGTTATTGGTCCGAGGGAGAGGGGTTCAATTCTTCCGGCAAACATTGTAATGATGTTCATTTGTCCCCCGCTTTAAAATTTCTAGCTCCGCCACTGCTCAAGAAAGACCCACCATAACATCAGCCCTAACCACACTCTTGTACGAATTTGCTAAGCTTAATTTTTTTTTTCAAAGATTTTATGCTTTTTTTTTTTAAATGAATTAAGTTTACTATTACAAAAAAAAAAGAAGTCTAAAACAATATATATATATATATATATATATATATATATATATATATATATATATATATATATATATATATATATATATATATATAGGGGAAGGCTCTCGTGAGAATTTTTCTTATATGAGAATTTTTCTTATGTGAGAACACTCTTTATGTTCTAAATTTTTACTCGTATGTTCTAAATTTTAAATCTGATGTTCTAAACTTTTTTTTAGGTGTTCTAAATTAAATCAAATGTTCTAATTTATTAATCACATGTTCTAAACCATAAATTAGTTAAGCTTGATGTCATAAATTTTAAATAACTTGTTCCAAACTTTTAACTTTTATGTTCTAAATTTTAAAACGTGTGTTCTAAGATTTTTAATTATATGTTCCAGATTTTCTAAGATTTTTTAATTATATGTTCCAGAATTTAAAGCGTATGTTCTATTTTTTTTACTCGTATGTTCTAAATTCTTTACTCACACTTTCTATATTCAATATTAGTTTGTTCTAAATTTTTATTCACATGTTCATAATCTTAAATCAAGTGTTCTAAATGTTACTCATATGTTTAAAATTTCATAAAGCCAATTTTATAAATTTTTAATCACTTGTTCTAATTCTTAAATCAGATGTTCTAACATATTACTCACACAAATGTTCTAAATTATTACTTATATGTTCAAAATTTTAATTTGAGTCACATGTTCTAAATTTTAACTCGTATGTTCTAAATTTTTACCCACATATTCTAAATTTTAAATCAGTTCTCATATAAGTATGAATTCTCACATATGGACCTATTCTCACCGGATCCCTCCCATATATATATATATATATATATATATATGTATATATATATATATATATATATATATATATATATATATATATATATATATATATCATTTTAGCAATTTAACACATACAAATTTTACAATAGTTAAGAACCAGTTAAACTGGCTACATAATTAGCCCAAACTACTTAATTAACTTTCAGTTAGTATTATAATTACCTACATAATTAAACATATGTTTTATTCATGTACTGGCACCAGGTACCGCAAACAAACTCTTCGCCGTGGGGTGCCGCGACTATCCCCGATTCACCGGAAGCATTGACACTGGCTTGGTCACATTGACAGATGACGGAACTGCCTCATGTAGAACCAACTGCAGCTCAGGGGGCAACAATGTCGTCGCAAGCGAATGCAATGGCATAGGGTGCTGCCAAGCCAATATTCCCAAGGGAATGAGGTCTTATACTGTGACTCATGATACTTTCGACAGTAACCACTCAACCATTACATCTTACAACCCTTGTGGGTACTCATTCGTCGCAGACCAAGAGAGTTTCAAGTTTCGAGGGATGAAAGATCTTAATGACCCTAACTTTATAAATAGGACAGCGTATGATGCTCCTTTGGTGCTCGATTGGGTGGCTTCTAATAAAACGTGCGCTAATGCTAAGCGCGATCTTGATTCTTATGAGTGTAAGGAGAATACTATGTGTGTAGATGCTACTGATAGCGGTATTGGAGGGTATCGTTGCAGTTGTCTTCCTGGTTATCAAGGTCATCCTTACCTTAGTCCGGGATGCACAGGTAAGATAACTAAATTTATGAACATTGTTATACTCCGTATTTCTGTGTAACTTACTTATGTGATTAAGATTTTGATTTATTGATCGATAATGGTTACTACAAACGATAGTTTGGGCCTATTTTTACTTTTTATTTTTCGTTTTTGTTTAACTAATAGGGTATAAAATCGTTTTGACTTTTTTAAATGGTGAAATGTATTCTCCTCAAAATCAATAAAACTTTTCCTCATTTACCTGTATTGGACATTCATATAGTTAACACATTGTTAGTAAATGTGTCTGAATGTGTTATTTTTCGTTATTTTGTTAACATACATTGCATTTCTTGTAATGGTATTTGGATATATATCAGACCTTATGCGTTGACATTTGGGTAAATCATGCACTAAGTAGACTAAATCTTTTGTCAATTCCATGTACAATCACATACATCATCAAATGATGGCCTGGATAAGAGAATAGTGATACACTACCTTCGTTAACATTTAGTTGTAACTTTGGAATATTTTATATCTTCGAATAATACCTCAAAATTGCAACTAATTGTTAACAGAGGTAGTAGATAAGACTGTAGATAGTTTATTAATTTTTTTTTTTTTTTTTTTTTTTTTTTTATACAATTTGTTGAGTTTGCTCTTTCTTATTTGTTGGCAGATATAAATGAATGTGAAGATCTCGATAGTAGTCCATGCACAATGAAATGTAAGAACACTCTAGGAAACTACACTTGTTCTTGCCCGTCTGGATATATCGGCGATGGTAGAAAAAATGGGACTAGTTGCAACCCACAGTTTCCTGCTTTGAAAGTTGGCTTAGGTAATGTCTATTTATGAACACTTTGTTTGCAATATCATATATACTTACACTGTTCTCTTCACTTGAAACAAGGAGATTTTGCTGATTTTATTAAACTCTAATCTAGTCCAATATGAATTTTTATTATTGGTTTGATCTGATCTGATTTAATAAATTGATTTAACTTTGACCGCATTTTAATACTAATCTATGAAAAAAACATCATAATATGGATCTTGTTAAATTTGTCTCATAAAGAATTTTTCAAATATGTAATTTTCATAATAATTTTTTAATACGCAATTAATCATAAGCTATAAGTAAATGATAACTAAAAGTTTTAATATGATTTGAATTTATTAAGGCATAAGTATATGAAACAAGTTAAAATGAATAAGTTCTTAACATATGATGACCCGATAATTTTTAACATTAATTTGTATTTTGTACGTATTCCATGATGGTACAGGTGTTGGATTAGGCTCCTTATCTTTACTCCTCACTTTGAGTTGGGCATTCTTGGCTAGTAGAAAAAGAAACCTTACGAAAATGAAGGAGACGTTCTTTCAAAGAAATGGAGGGTCGCTATTGAAGCAACTAATTTCTCCTAATAAACAAGACGACGTGGAGCAAGTGAAGGTTTTTACCATAGACGAGCTTAAGGTAGCCACCAAGAACTTCAAGGAAGAGCGGATTGTTGGTAGAGGTGGTTATGGGACCGTTTACAAGGGATTTTTACCAAATAATCAAGTTGTTGCCGTTAAGAGATCAAAGTTTGTGGATGAAGATCAGATTGAACAATTTATTAATGAGTTGATCCTCTTGGCTCGAATTAGACATCCTAATGTGGTACGGCTTATAGGATGTTGTTTGGAGGTTGAAGTCCCGTTGTTGGTGTACGAGTTTATCTCCAATGGCACACTATATGATCATATTCATAACAGAAACGGAACGACTTGGTATTCTTGGAGTAATTGTTTGCGCGTTGCCATGGACTCGGCTAGTGCTCTAACACATATACATACAATTCCAATATTTCATCGAGACATTAAGTCCGCAAACATATTACTAGATGATAGTTACACGGCAAAGGTATCCGATTTTGGAGCTTCGAGGTTGATTCCGTTACATGAGACTCATTTGTCCACCGTGGTACAAGGTACACTAGGATATCTCGATCCAGAGTACTTTTTTTCGAGTCAATTAACAGAGAAAAGTGATGTTTATAGCTTTGGTGTGGTTCTTTGTGAACTCTTAACAAGGACAAAGCCACTTTTAACGCAGAGACAAAGTGAATCACAAAACCAAAATTTGGCAACATACTTTGTCAAGTCTATGCAATTAGACAATTTGTTCAATATTTTGGACCCTCAATTAGTTATTGAAGCAACTAAAGAGCAATTAATCACGATTGCAAAGCTTGTACAACGATGCTTAAGTGTTCAAGGAGATGATAGGCCGACAATGAAAGAAGTAACAAAGGAATTGGGAGATTTATGGAGGCAAACAATTTAAATTACATGGCACCGGGCAAGAATCTTGATTATGATCATATGGGCTTCAATTGTACTACGAGTGTTTAATATAGTTCTATGAATTTTGTTATTGAATTTGTTGTTAGTTTTAAGCAGAAAAACAACCGATCAAATAGTGAAATAATGATCAAATTGTAAAATAATACTACCTCCAGTTTTTTTAGTTGCAACTTGGTATTATTTGAGAGAGATAAAATATTCCAAAGTTGCAACTAAAAAAAATCGGAGGTAGTACAATTGTAATGAATTGAAAAAACAATGAAGAAAAGAACGTCCAAATTTTATATTGAATCTTGTTAAATAAGAGAAGGTAAACATGACTTGAGCCCTTCATATGAGAGCATGTCGGAGACCTAATTGGTAAGAATAGGCTAGTTGAATTTTGTGGAAATTGTATCGCAAATCTAATCAACAATCTCAAATCTATTATCAACAAGATCCCAAATAATTCTTGTATGTCGTTCTTGTTAGTGTTGTAGAGTTTTTAGTTTTATCTATCCCACATAAACCTTAGAATATTACATAGTATTATTAACTTAAAGGAAAAGTTGTCAGAAAGGTACGTATATTAACATTTTTGTGAAGAAAGTAAAGCCTTAATTATATGTTTAAAGTGGTGAAAAATATCCTTATAAGGACCTCAATGTCAGAATATGACAATTCACTTCACATTTCAGGCGTTTACCATCATGTGGTTAGCACTGATGTTTAAAAAACGCCCTTTTTATTTTTTTTTTTCTTTTTAAACAATAACATGGTAACACGTAGCAGTATTGTAGAACCCTCTTAATGGGCTTTTGTATGAAAACTATTAAGTGGTGGTAAAATCAATTTTTTTGTACTATTTTGTGGTGTTAAGGTAAAAGTTATTTGTTTTTAATTTTTTTTTTGTAATATTAAAAAACATTATTAAAAAACATTTGAATGCTTTTTTAGGGTGTTAAAAATTAGCATACTCCGTGTAACAAGAATGCCCAAGTGACTAGATTCTTCAAGGCAAATACTTAGCATGACTAAATAAATTGATAAGATCAAATGATAAATTAGTTAACGTCACTGTTATAGTTGGCGTCACTGTTAGGTCTATGATGATGTTGTATTGATATGCATATGCTCTTGTAGTGGTAGGCAAGTTTTTAGCAGGACGGCATATATAATAGCTGCACATTTGACCTCGACGTAGCTTGCTGGCCATGTTCCGTTGAACCTTAAAACCTAGATTTAAAAAAAAAAAAAAAAAAAAAAAAAAAAAAAAAAACTATAAATTCATGATAATAATTGAAGTCCCTTCTTTTTCCTTTTTAATATACTTCATTCGGACTTGAAAATCCAAATAAAATATAATAATAGTTTTAAAACAACTATTAAACATTTTAATTATAATACAGGTATATAATTATATGTATGTTCAATTATAAGGTTAGATGTTTGTTTATGTTTATGTAACTATAAAATGATAATATACTTTAAAGTTGGTAAAAACAAGGACCTACTTTAATTTCTGACACTAATTTATTTGTATGAACAATAAATGAGAAATAAACAAATAAAGAACGGAGGGAGTATATTAGCTAGCTAGTACGTGTAATTGACTAGGTGAGTGCTTGATTAAAATTACATGGATGACCTTATAATTGTAATTATAATTATAATTATAAAACTTAAACATTCTTCCAAAGTCGTATAAGAACATGGTTGTAACTTCTATTATAGCTTAATAGCTTCTCAATGGCCTGGAAAATAATTTGTTCTCTTCATCTTCTTTTCTACACATCTCTTTCTCTAATAAGTTTGACAACTAGTCAAAATAATGCTACCTTTCTAGGCTGGAAATGTATAGACTCAAATGGCATTGGCAACTATACTAAAAATAGCCTTTTCCATTCGAACCTCTTAAATGCCTTATCTAATCTTACCTCCCTCTCCTCTTCCAATATCTTCTCCAACTACTCTGAAGGAGTACGCGAGGATGCTGCAAACGAAGTCTTCGCCTTATACGACTGTCGAAACGATCTTCCACTTCGAACATGCCATGATTGCGTTGAGGAAGCCACAAAGAATCTCTTGGAGATTTGCACCTCCAAAGAGGCCATAGCCCACTATGAGGTATTGGTGTTCATAACAATTTAAAGAATATACTCCGTACTTTATAAAAGTTCCCTATTCGTTTTTTTTTACCTACCTGCTCCATATTTATTTGATTTGTTCTTCTTCTTTTTCTTCTTCTTCTTATTAGAATTATGCATATAAGCATTATTATTTTTTTTTACATATAAGCATTAAATTTACAGTTGAAAATCGTAAAAAGTTAAGAAATCATAAAAATATTAACATTAATTACACTGATTTACGCGTGTTTTTATCATGAATTCCTAACTTTATATAATTTCCAAGAATGTATTTAATGCATATATATAGCCGCAATTTCTACCCTACTCCTGGAGTACTGTGAGCATGATACTCCAGGGGTCAAACGATGTCGTTCTATTATCTATCCCTACCTTCTTCTTTGTTTTCCCCTTTTTCTTCTTGCTATACTTTGTGTCCTGTATTTTTTTTTTTCAATTTCAGTGAATTTCTTCATCCCTGTTTTCCTCTTTTTCTTCCTGCTATTCTTTTTTTCCTCTATTTTCTTTCAATTTATGTGAATTCAATCAATTTTTTTCTTTCAATTGCAATTTTTGAAAAATAAAAATAGCACTAATTTAAAATAGAATAACAGAAGATATGGTTTATTTGAATATCACATGTTTAGAACAAAATAACAATAGACTTTAAATAGAATAACATCAATTTGTGTACAAAGTAACACAAAGTTTAACCTAAAATAACACATAACTTGATAACTGAATAACTTAAACTTCTATTAAAAATAACATAAGATAACTCAAAGGTTAAGTAGAATAATAAAGGATACATTAAAATAACAAAACAGCACAAATTTAGGATTTCATTAAGATAACACATAATAAAAATAAAATAACATTAGGCTTAAAACAAAATATCATCATTTATGAAACAAATTAAAAAAAATGATGTTTTAGAAAAACGTTAAATAATTCTGCCAAAACAAATCTACTTTCAAAAACTAAAACAACACATGACGATCAACCCAAAATAACATTAGATTTTAAGTAGAATAACATTAGATATTAAGGAAAATAACATCATTTTAAAGAATAATATTAACAAATTAAAACACATTTTAGAAATATAGATCCGACTTCACAATCAAAATAACATAATATGCGATGCTGAATAACATAAGCCTAGAAACAAAATTGATCAAAATAATAAGAACTTATCTATAATTTTTGTGTCCAAAAAAACACATTTTCGAATAGTATGTGTCCAAAAAAAAAAAAAAAAAAACAAAAATTTATCTGAATAGTAACTTGTAGTTTGTAAAAATACCCCATTCGTCCTATTTAATTTTTTTAGGTCAAGCTTATAAACATTTTACATACTTCGTATGACTTCTGTTATAAAATACTTCAAATATAGTTTCATCTCAATATACAGATATAGATAGATGTGCATTAGTCATAAAAAACAAACAGAAATATTATGGTGGGACCAAATGAATAATTAATTTTTTTCCTAGCTAATGAACGAACTTACAACTACAATGATTCTCTATGGCAGCAATGCATGTTACGCTATGCAAACCGTCCAATCTACAACATCATGGAGTTGAAGCCCCAACTTTATTTCTGTGAGATCAGTATACCTGATGGAGGCGAGTTAAATCGAACCGTTGAACCGATCTTAAAAGGACTAATAGATCAAGCTACAATGGAGAACTCATCGCGCTACTTTGGACTAGGAGACGAGAGTTATTTTGAGTATCAGAGAGTATATAGTATGGTTCAATGTACTCCTGATATAAGTAGGGAGCAATGCAAAGAGTGTTTGATGAATTCCTTGAATTACACCCTTCAATGTTCAAATGGTAGTATGATGTCAAGTTATCACGGCGTGCCAAGTTGCTTTATGAGATACGATTTTGTATCTTTCTACAATATATCGTCACCAAGCCCTTCACCAGTTCCTCTCATGGCTATCAATCAGTCAACACATTCAAGGACTACTAGTAATAATGGAGGTCAACGTTTGTATTCTACTAGAAACTTACTTTTTATTTTCTGCTTTTCTTTTTCTTTGGTAATCATGCATGTGATGTTATAACATTGTTTCTTAGAAGGGGAGTATTCTTAGAGAAAATATGTACGATTACTTGTATATTTATGGTCAAATTAGGTCATTGTCACAAATATAGTTTTAAAAAGGTTGATCTTAATTTGCAAACTTGAACGAACTTATGGTCTTTTCCATTTAATGATCTTACCTTTGAATATCCTGCTAACATACCGATTTGGACTGTATCCGCACACTATTAGTAGTACTATTTGCTTATTTGTAGGATTGGTTAGTTCATTCAACTACCTTGACGGCTGGTGGTTGAAAATCAAATTACAATTTTTTTTTTTTTTTTTTTTTTTTAAAAAAAAAGTTTATATTTACTACACAGAAAAACTATACCAATAAATAAAATATGAGCTTTATGTTTGTTCTTTACTTTCCTTTATTATTATCAAATCAGGAACTCGATGAAGAAAATTTTGGATGAGTAAAAAACTACTAAAAATTTAACTCGACGTACTACCTCCGTTACATATTATTTACAACGATTAGACATTTTTCCTCTCTACTTTATATCAAATCGTTGCAAATAATATGTAACAGAGGTACTATATAAGTTATAAACTTTGGAGATGTGACAGTCGACACATACCATGATACCAGTAATATATAACACAATAAAAAAAGTTAAAAACTTCTTCAAATGGATCTCGTAATATAAATGGTACAATGTGCTATAATTCAGAAGCTTTTTGCTGATCATTGTACGTCTATAAGCTATCTATAAATATGGTGCCCTCCTGATTCTCGCTCGGGATTATGTAAGTTGTTTGCTTCCATAATTCTCCTAGATCCATGGCCACTTCTTTCATCGTCGGCCTTTCTTCACCCTTGATACTTAAGCATCGTATTACAAGCTTTGAAATTGAGATTAGTTGCTCTTTAGTCGCTTCCATAATTAATTGAGAATCTAAAATGTTAAATAAATTGTCCT